ATACTTGGGAGCGGTCCAGCTATATGCTGAAGGCTCGGAAGCGGTCCAACTTTGTGTTGTAGGCTCAGGAGGTGGTTCAACCTTGTGTTGTAGGCCTGGTGTGCATGCATTGTATGTGTATTGTTGTGTGGGGTATTTTGGGGGGACTCACTAAGCTTTGTGCTTACGATTTATGTTTAAAATGTTTTCTGGTACTTCTGGTTTCAAAGTGAAGGGGTTCGGCTTCATCGCACTGCATCCCCTGGAAATTCATTCCGCATTGGCTGGTTTGATTTTACTCTGATTTTTTGAGAATATTGTTACTCTGATTGTCTTTTGGAACAAATGAATAAATGTTTTGATCTATTTAAAATAAATTGTAACACTCCGTTTGAAATAGAGTAATTAAATAATAAACCCATAACTCCAAGATGTAAATTTATATTTTATATTATTTTATAATGGCCCAAAAATCCATAATATTTAGCGGGGTGTTGGTTCCGGGGAGCCAAACGATATAATTTGGATTTTCGGGGGTTAAAGTGTAATTCCAGGATTTATTTTGTAAAGACTTTCAGAAGTCAGTGGGTGTATGGTATCATTTGGACTTATATTGAATAGCTTTTGGAATGTGGAGGGTCGAATGGTAAATTTATGTACCTAAGTTGAAAAGAATTTGTCATGGAGGGGCTATATGGTAACTTATGGAGTTGAATCGAAAAGAAATTGGGAAGGAGGGACTAAAGGCGTACATTGAACAAGAGTTTATATGAGCGGGTATTAAACCCCTTACCTTCTCAAACCTAACCCTAGAACACTATTCAGCCGCCACCCTCACATTAACCGCCTCTGGCGCTGCCACCCTTATTCCTCCCATCCCAGTCGCCGCCTCCGTGACACAATAGTGAACCACTGACGACCCCTTGCGACTCCGACGACGGGTTTGAAGGCCGATATTGCGGCTGCTGTTGTTGTTCCTTCCTCCGAGACGTCTGTCGCGCCGTCGTAAACACCGATGGGTTGCGTCGCCACCGCTGAACGTCGCCTGTTGGCGTCGTCGCTGCCGCTGCTGTCGTTGCAACCTTCCACAGCTCAGTTCTTCGCCCCCTCCGTCGTCATTCCCCTCCTCCAAGACCAAAGTCCGGCATGGTGTGTGTTTTGCTCGTGTGTGTGTGTGTGTGTGTGCGTGTTTTGGTTGTTGTACGATTGTGGATGCTCGTTTGGCCAGAAAAACCCCGAGAAAACCACCATGGCTGCTAATCATGGTGGCTGCCACCACTATTTCTATTCTGCCACCACCAGCCGCCGTGTGGTGGTGGATGTATGTGTGTGTTATGATGTTATTGCACGTGTTTAGTAGTGTGATGTTGTAAAAATGTATTTGTAGCCGGAAAATCCGAAGAAAACACCCCACCACCGCCGTGAGGTGGTGGCTACCACCTCATGCCACCATTCTGCCGCCACCAGCCGCCACCTTGGGTGGCTGTGTGCTTTTGTGTGTGTGATTTTTATTTTGATTTTCTTGGACATGTTTCGGACTAGAATCGTAACCACCACCACCACGATGTGGTGGCCGCCGCCGTGAGCCGTCGTTGACCACCAGTACCCGAGGTGGTAGTGGGTGGTGCCCGACTTATTTAACCCTAATTGACATAATGAAGCCCTAATTGACCTAAAAACGTAACCATTTGACTAATTGTCACACGATTGGGTTGGAAACCCTAATTAGGGTTTAGAAAATCCTAATTTTAGAAATGTGAGTTTTGGATTTGTTGGGACCCACGTTTGGACCGTTGGATTTGGAATTTTGAATTACGCCCAACCACATTGTATGTTTGGTCTAGTGGAGTGATGGACTTAATGGATTAAGTCCTTAATGGGTTAAGTAGGAACACTTAACCCTAATCGTCAATTTATGTGAAAAACCCTAATTGGGTTTTGGTTTTTGTTGGGCCATTTCTTGGACTAGGTTGTCGTGGGCCTTCGTAGGCCAAATGGAAACATGTTTATGGACTAAGGAAATTATTGGGCTTTAGGATAAGGCCCATTGGAAAGGCTTGGGCCCAATTTGGAAAATTAGGCCATAATTGGGCCTTGATGATTATGAGGTATTAGGCCATCGGAATGCCAAGTGTTTGGACTGGAATAAATGGTTGTGCCATAAGAAAAGACCATGTAGAGGTTTGGGCCCAATTTGGAAAATTGGGCCATATGTTGGGCTTTGGTTCATTGTCTGACTTTTGGGCCTTCAAAGTGTGTGTTCGGGCCTTGGGCTTGGACCAAGCTAGGTTGGGGGTACAATAGTCTTTTACCCCAAACATGGACTTATGGTTGTGTATTGGAACCCAATTATTAATTGGGTGTTGTTTTGATGTTGACAGTTCGGGAATCTGTCAACCAGCAGCTAGAGTTTTATCCGTTGGACTTCGGCAGTGTGAGGTGAGTCTCCTCACCATACCAATGGGTCGAAGGCACCAAGGCCGACCCATTTACCTAGTTGTGATGATTATTGCAGATACGCTATCGATGCATTATGTATTTATATGAAGACCATGTGGGGGTTCCCATGGCATTTGTTTGAGACCACGTGGGGGTTCCCGTGGCATTTGGTGTAAGACCTTGGAGGGTTTCCATGACATCCTAGTATGTTTGTACATTTAGTTTGTATGATATTTCTTGGGTTAGCTAAGACCATGTGGGGGTTCCCTTGGCAATTAGTTATATGCGGTATGCTAGTTGATTGTGTGGTAGTTGGTATGTTAGTTGTCTTTGTGATACTTGCATGGAAGACCCCGGGGAGTTCCCGAGGCAGTTTGATATAAGACCATGTGGGGGTTCCTATGGCACTCCAGGCTAAGACCATGTGGGGGTTTCCATGGTAGTGGGCTAAGACCATGAGGGTGTTCCTATGACACCCAGTGTAAGACCTTGGAGGGTTTCCACGGCATCCTTATATGTTTGTATGTATGGTTTATATGGTAGGTAGTTGAGACCATGTGGGGGTTCCCATGGCAGTGGGCTAAGACCATGAGGGGGGTTCCTATGGCACCCGGAGTAAGACCTTGGAGGGTTTCCACGACTTCCCTATATGTTTACATGCATGGTTTGAGTAGTTGATATGATTTATGTGATTATGTGTATAAGACCTTGGAAGGTTTCCATGACATCCTTATATGTGTATATGCAAGGTTTATGCAATTGATATGAATTATGTGATTATGTGGATTGTGTGGGGTATGCTGTGGGGAACTCACTAAGTTTTGTGCTTACAGTTTTGTTTATGGTTTCAGGTATCATCAGTTTGGAAACGAAGGGTCCGACTTGATCGCAGCGCACACACCCGTGTTTTCCGCAGTATTTGATTTTGGGATGAACTCTGATAAATGTTTTTAATTAGCAATGTTTTTGGAAAACTTGGATTTAAAAGATATATTTGTTTTGACTGTAATGAAAAATAAAATTTTTACCCTTGATTTTTAGATCGTTACATAAACTTTTACTCAGTATTTTTGAGACGTTACAACAGACACACCCACTCATAACAACAAGCAATTATATATTTCAAAGTTTTAGTCTCTTATTATATATACTGATTAGAAAGTGGAAATAAATAGTAAAGATTTTTAGTTTTATAGTTTGACAACAATGGTTTTCTATATGGGCAATTTTAGTCCTTGGTTTTTTTGGGTTTTAAAATTTGGTCACAAGACTTATATATAATAGCATGTTCTTTATACTTTTATATATTGCCATGTTTCGATCCGAAACTTTTTGAGTTTCACACTTTCGTCATAGGACTTTCGTACTTTTTGAGTTTCACACCTTCGTCATAAGATTTCGTATTTTCTTTCTGAACGGCTAGTCTAATCTATTTCTAGTCTAACACTTAATTCCACCGAGAATGACTTATCAATTTGGATATTGAAATTTCGAACCAATTCTATACAATATATGTTGGTCGGACGGTCAGTTTCAGTTGGATCAATACTTTTGTGCACACCCCTAATTACTATTAATTAAAATAGAAACCAAATTGATTACTGTTAGCAAAACTAACTTACAAATTGTGGGTTTGTTTTCCGCGAGTGTATAGGTATTCTATTAAATGTAATATATTAAACTAAGCTATAAAAGTCTGTAAATTATAATTTCCCTAAAATTTGTTTGTGACTTTGCTTGGAATAGATGATAACGATGTGATTAATAACATTAATGTGAAAATAGATCAATAAAAGAGATGTCGCTAGAATAATAGTAATTGATAGGAGATCTAGATAGCATAGTTGTCAAAATCGCGATCTTGATCGTAGGATCTTACGATCTCACGATCCTAGGTATGAAAAACGATCCAGATCGTAAACGGATCGTATTTGGGGTAGGATTGCAGGTAGGATCGTAAGATCGTAGGTATGATCGTAGGATCGGGATCCGACCCGACCTTTCCTTGAATTTTTTTTTTTTGCATATGAAATCATTTTACCACTTTATGTCTTTTACCCGTTTACCAAGTTACCGTTTATCATTTTATGTTGTGACTTATGACTAATATTTTGAAGTTTTTATAACATTTTAACAAAAAATTGAATGTTTAAAATATTTTTCATGTATTAAAATTATAAATTAAAATTATGTTTCATTTTATAAGATGTTAGGATCCTAAATTATAAATTAAAATTATGTTTTATTTTATAAGATGTTAGGATCCTGATCCCGATATTGCAAACCCAAAAATGATCCTATGTAGGATCCCAATCTTGACAACATTGGTAGATAGATTAAGGGACCATAGATTAATAGTTGTTCTGGAAAAATATTTACAAATTTGTTCCAAGACTTGCACAACTTTTTTCAATAGATACCCTAATCTTTCACGCTATTGTCATGCTCACCCCATCCAAACTCCCCCATTTTACATTGAGTTCCCCCACTCCGAGTTACATCTCTGACTCTGAGTCAACTCACATCATCGATTTCTCGCCTACCGAGAAAACTCCGATTACCGTCGCATACATCCCATCACGATGTTAGCTCGGACCCCAGCAATTCATGTACATGGCTTGCCGGAGAGAATCATCGGATTGTTTTCTCCTTTCTTCTCCACCGAGCAATCCTCCGACATCGGAACCGAGGATGCCGGAAAGAGGACGGAGATCAGCAGGATCGGCGCCGGAACCGGAGGAACTGAACGCCTTTTTGCCTTGCTGAAAGGATTTGATGCCGGACTTCAGTTTGTGACCTTGATCGGTGTGGCCGTTGGCAACGGCAACACCGGCGGTCATGAATACACGACTCAAATAACTCATTTATGGTGAAAATCTCCGGTTGGGTCTGTATTGTTTTCTGATGAAATAAACGAAAGGTGAAAGGGGTTATTTATAGAGTGAAGGTAACGGTGGGTTTGTGAAACCGGAAACAGGAAAATAATTATCGAGGAAGAGTGGTAATTGTTCGAGATACATTCATTTCGTGAATATATCATGAGATGTGCGATATGTTGCTACAAAACTAAATTAATTAAAATAATAAATATCATTAAACAAGAAACGACAAATGTTATACGGAATGTCGATGCGACTATGCCCATGAATAATAAGAAAAAGACAAATTTGAAAGTTCGTTCTATATGGTACTATAAAAATTGGATGTTATATATCGCGTAAATTGATAAAAATTGGATGTTAGATATCGCATAAACAATTTACATTAGTGTCCGAATTTTGTTGTAGTTTTGGTTTAAGAAAGAATTTAAATGAGTTATTATTTATTTATATTTATTTATATTTTTTCATTGTTTTGATTATTATTTATATTTATTTATATTAAATGAAAAATAAAATAAAAATTCCTAACTCTCTCTCTCTCTCCCTCTCTCTCTCTCTCTCTATGTGTGTGTGAGTGATAAACACTCAAGAACATATTCATAGATTCCGCCACCACCACCGTTCCCCACCACCACCGTCTGCCACCTCCATCTCTACCTAAACGTTTTCTGGCACTTCATCTTTAACAAATCAGATCAGATGTACACACATGAAATCTGATGAACACACACATACATATATAAACACAAAATCAGATCTACACAACATACATACACGAAATCAGATGAACAAACACAAAAAAAATTGATCAAATGTGGGCCCCTTTCTCAGATCTGCGTTGTCATTGGAACACTCACATACAAATCGATTTCTGAGATGAACCTACTCGCAAATGGATTTCCAAAAATGAAAAAAAAAACACATACACACAGCGAAATTAATGAAATTCAAGTGAAATCGGACATAAAAATCGACCAAATCCGATTTCCGGTGTATGCAAAATCATTGTCTTCGTCGTTTGCCTTCGATGTGAAGATGAAATTGGTGTCGATTCCGATGACGTCGTTTCAGAAATAGAAGAAACGAGTTCGGTGCAACAACAAATGCATGAGCTTTTCCATCAGCAAGCTTGATGAGCTTGATTCGAGTTCGTGACCCACTAAAGATAGAGCAAGAAGCTTTCTCCTCTGCTGGAATTCGATATGAGTCGATCTCCCAACAAGAGAAAATGGGGTGGAGTCGATTTGTAACGCCCCGATTCTCATGTATTGATTTAATATAAAGTTCTTTGATTTCAAGGTCTACTCGACGAGTTGGTTGCCCTACTCATCGAGTAGCAGCGGGTTGGTCCGCGTGTTTTAGTGACCTACAAGCCGAGTCCAAGAAGGGACTCGACGAGTAGGAGCTGGCAGATGAAACCCTAAATCCTGGGGTTTGCACCCTACTTAAAGAATCATAAGCCTCCCTCAGCCTCTTTACAGTCCCTTGAGAGCTCAGCAAAACCCTAATACGTGTGTGTGTACTCCATTGTGTTTTAAGCTTTGAAAGAGGATTATTGGGGAGAAAAGCTTGGAGAAACAAGTGGCTAGAAGCAAAGAACTTGTGGGGGGTCAGAAATCTACCTCAGTTAGCATCATTTGGAGGTATCAAGTCGTCACCTTTACCTCATTTCTTTCTAGATCTCATTTGGGTGAAGTTTAGGGTTATTTTGGCTTGGTTATGATGATATTGTGGTGTATGAGCTAGATCTGAAGTTGCAACTTCAGATCTGGACCCTTCTTGGGTTCTAGATTCATAAAGTTTCGAGCTTGGTCATGTATGAAGTCTTCCTTGAGTGTAAAACTCCATTATAATTTTGGATTTGTCATTTAGAGCCTTTAGAGCCATGTATGCACGTAAAGTTCGCAACTTTACGTGATCAACATGCCTTAGAAGCCTGGATCTGCAATATGGAGCCGCTGCATGGCTTAAAAAGCGTCTGTATGGATGAAGGATTGAAGGGACTCGGCGAGTCGCAAGGTCGACTCGGCGAGCCACATGAAGATGGCCATGTACTCGACGAGTTGGATGAACAACTTGGCGAGTCCGTTGAAGATTGTCTTGGACTCGGCGAGTCGGCTAGGGTTCTCTCAACCTTTGGACAAGTATGAACTCGACGAGTTATAAGGGAACTCGACGAGTCAACCTAGGATTTCACGACTTCTCAAATTCAGGAAGAACTCGACGAGTCGGTGAACTGCACTCGACGAGTTGGATCAACATGGACTGTTGACCTTGACTGTTGACTTTGACCTTGACCAAGGGTTGACCAGTTGACCTCTGGGGGTATTTTGGTAATTTGGAAATTTATGGAAAGGGGTTTTATGGTGACTATAGGTGGTGGAGTTCGTGTTGGTGATTCGAGAGTTTGAGCCTATCACTTCAGTGCGACATTGTGAGGTGAGTTATCCTCACTATACTCAAGGGTCTAAGGCACCAAGGTCGGCCCTTTGAATTGTTATTGGATATGTTATGCTAGTATGATTGTTAGATTGGTGTCCTAGAGGGTAGGATGATATTATGTGACATGTGGTATGATCTGTTAGTTCGGTATCCTAGAAGGTAGGATAATGTTATGCGGTATGTGGTGTGATCCGTTAGATCAGTTGTGTCTATAGACTATTATGTGATTATCTGTTATATGTGCACATGTTTGTTTGGCGGTTGAGGCTTGTCTGCCTTGTGCGAAAGCCAATAGACCTGGGCATTCCAACCTGTTGGTTGTGGGCTGTGAGTATTCCATCCCGAGGATGTGGACATTCCAACCTGTTGGTTGTGGGCCTGGGGTATTCCATCCCGATGATGATTGGACCCATAGTATGTTGGCATTCCAACCGGATGGGTGAGGGTCTGGGGTATTCCAACCCGATGGTTGACTGGACCCATAGTATGTTGTTTATGTTGATATGTGTATTGTTGTGAGTATGGGTATTTTGGGGGAACTCACTAAGCTTTCGGGCTTACAGTTTCAGTTTATTGTTTCAGGTACATTGGGGGATCGTGGCAAGGCAAAGGCGTGATCGTACAACTCCTCACTTTTTATGACTTTGTTTCTGGGATACTCTGATATTATACATTTTGAAAACAAATTTTGTAATGGTTAATGGTTTTGGAAATGTTTTAAAAGTTTTAAATTGGCTTGAATTTTTGGGTGTTACACGATTGGTGGGCAAATGGTAGATCCGACGGAGATATGGCAACAAAATGCATGTTCGCTTTGTGTTGGGTTGGAGAAGATGTAGCCCAAAAATTGATTTCTTTCATAATATGAAGGTTATTATTGGGTTTGAGTTGCAGGGTGGAAAAAGGTGTTCTTAATCGTATCTCTTTTGCTTCGAATGATCAAACTGTAACATGTACCCCTCACTTCCTCCCCCTTGTTCCTAGCGATTTGGATGCATTTAAGGTCAAAGTTGTGATGTGATTATGGCTAAAATTGTTCCTCCTTCTATTGAATCCCAAACCGCATGTCCTTTTTAAGAAAAGAAACACACCATCAGCGTTGTGTGTGTGTGAGTGAGAGAGAGGGGGTGTGGTATTTTCATTTTTCTAATTGTTGTAAAGAAAATTAAAAAAAAAAACTAAATTAAAAGGGAAAATTCATCATTTTAAATGTTTTCAAATAACTGTGGACCAAATTCACAACAAATTAAACTTTTTGGATCACTGGTGCAACTTCAAAACATTTTGGACCAAATATCTAATTTTTAACATACCATAGGGACCAAACTTGTAATTTTATATAAGAAAAAGAACATAATGTCAGTTTTATATTTTTATTAAAAGTTGAATCAATTCACTATTATTGTAAGTCGAATCAAATATGAAAGTTCTATTAAAACGTAACGAGAGTTTTTGATGGATTTTTAATAGACACTAATCGTTTTAGCAACGACTTATAACGGTTTTGACTGTCATTAAAACTCAAATTTTCTAACGCTGTTCTGTCACACCCCGAAACCGGCGGCGGAAACGTTCCGGGGCGGAGTGACGTCATGTAAAGTATCACAACCAATGTACATAGCAAACATAGTAAACACAACCAAAACATTGAATACATACATAGAAAAGTTTACATTGTTTTGATACAAAGTTTATACATATCAGTTTATAACAAAAGTAAAGACGAGACTTCTATCCGCTCCGTCTTCTCCAAGAGTAATAGGATACCTGTCTAATGAGAATCTGAGAATACAAGCAGTTTTAAAATATCAGCATAAAGCTGGTGAGTTCATAAGCTGTTTAACTTTGGTAAAAGATATGTTTCTCTGATTCTTTGAAAAGTTGTTTACCAAGAAAATCCTATATTTTCTTATGAAAGGTGTTTGGTTTCTCATTAGTTATACGATAAGCCGCTGTTATGAAAGGTTATGTTGTCCCAAGAAAACCCTATGTTTTCTTATGAAAGATGACGGTTGGTTATTGGTTCTGAAAAGAAGTGTACAAGTACCTATCATACTTGTAATGTTAGGTAAAATTTTCCCTGAAGAACTCTGTTACCTTCAGTGCGATGTATTAGCTATATTATGTACATAAAACTAATAAGTAAATTAGTGAACTAAATCCTAAGGGTACTACTGGTACCCTCTAGTAATCAAAACAGTTATTACTTTGAGGTTAGTTCACCATGTTCATTATTACCAAAAGTAAATCTCTGTTAGCTAGGTTGCGAGTTCTATAACCATACATTAAACTGGATGTGGCACGTACGGTGGCCAGTATTTGTTATGACATTGTCACCCGTAGACCTGACGGTCCCACTGTAGCTAGCAGCAAGGTGCGGGGTAGTCAGTCCCGTATAGATCTATACACAATAGTCACGCTCTCCCTCCAGGAGATTCTGGTTACAGGGGTAGTCCTACACTCACGAATCCGGTGGAGTGTTACCAAGGACGTGTCTTTAATCCTTAGTCTAACAAATTTACAAGTAATAATATGGAGAAAATCATGTT